AAAAAAGGGGGTGACTAATTAATTTGGTAATCATGAGGAGATCAGCTGGAGACAGGGGACAGGAGGGGTAGAGGTGGTATTGATGAAGAGGAACAGGATTTGAGAAAGGGATGGAGTCAGAGAAATGGGGGTGGGATGGAAAGAAAAAAGAAGGAGGCAAAGGAGGTGAAGTGACAGAGCTGTGAGGACTGAAGGAATAAAGGGAAAACTTAGAGAAAAATATTAAAATCAGGACAAAAGAGAGGAAAAGGACAGCAAACAGAAAAGAACAGAGGATCTGAGTAGATGACGGTTCATTTAAATTCATAAATTAAGAGGCAATCGGATTCAAGCAGGAGTATTTGTACGTGTGACAAAAACATCTGCACACAAAGTTTATAAAAGCAAGACTGAGCAGACAGTGGCAGAGAAAAAAGGATTTAAAAGCAAGCATGTTAAAATTCAAATAAATAAAGCTGAAGTTTGAAGTACTCTGCATGTTTTCCTCAGTGTTTCTAAAAACAAAAAAGGAGAGAACAAGGCAGATGTCAGCCAAAATCAGCTTAATGTAATAGCTGTGAATTTTGTTCTGGCTGCTTTCTTTTGTGTCAAGTGGTGGCATCAAATATGCTTGCTTGCTGTTGTTCCCGTTCCATTGATTATTTTCCAACACTGGCAATCAAACTCATAGAAGCAAGGCGGGGCAACATTTCACCTTGGTCCCTGCATAAATATAGAGTCACAACATGTGGAGCGCAACCAGCCCAAAAGGCCCAGTGCAACTTTCTTAATTGAAGTGTGAGCCAAATAACAAAAAAAGGAAGTGTCAAATTTGTTGTGTGTGATGGTTGGAATTAATGTTTGAGTCAGTGCTGTGGCATAAACATCTTTAACCTACAGAACTGAAGTTCTAGAAGGTGCTGTTCTGTAGCACAACCTGACCTTTCGCCTCTTGTTCTGTGAGTCTAACATCACACTGGCACAATACACAAGATTAAATTACAAGCTGAACCAACTGCTTCACAAAGCAGGTAAGCGCAAGTGCCATACTCCGGTCATATTTGTGCAACATCAACACGTTTGTGCTTCCAAAACATTTCACACTTACCACATGACTTCCATTCCTGAGTGGGTGGGATTAACGCGGTGCTGCGATATTGATTTGCATTGGCATAAAACCTCTGTGACTCTATATATTACACCACATTCAGCAGTCATCTATTCAATCAAATCTAATATTACACTGCCTCTCCACACAGCTGTCTAATAGCATTTAACTCACAGTTTGATTCCTGCATTCCCTCATGTACTTCAAACGCTTGCTTTCAGTATCCTTCATTCGTTTCTACTATGCCAAAATGAAGTCTTTTGAAAGCACGGAGGATGAATGAGCATGTCTGTGTGTGTGCACGTGTGTGTGTGTGAAGACAGGATTAGCTGTGGCCTAAGGCTTAAGGTATGGAGTGGAGTGTATTTTAGAAGCTTCTAAATTAGCTGGGAAATGGGATTTTGAGACAATGGACTGGAAAAAACTCAAATGAAAGGATGCTTTCGCAGCACTCTTTCATTTGCCTCTGATGTTCTCGCTTTCTTTTTCTTTTCCTGTTTTCACTGTTGTTCCTCTGTCCTCATCATTTCTCATCCCTGTGCTTCTTTTCTGCATCCTCTATTTATTCTCTCTATCTCACATCTACTTATATGTATGTACATATACATATACACATATAAGTGTGTATATAC